CAAACCCAATCCTCGATTGGCTAGAGTGCTGGACATTCTTTTCATATTACATGCAGAACATGAAATGAACTGTTCAACAGCTGCTGCTAGGCATCTTGCGTCAGGGTACGTCTATTAGTTTTGAACTGAAACAGAGCAATCCAGAATTCTGTTGTTAATATGCAATATAAACCTCTAATTTATGTTCTTCTACTGCTTTATTTCTTTAGGAAGCAAAAAATGTCAGTTTCGGACACCGTGTACACAAAAACTATGATCCGACAGCAAAAGTGATAAAGAAATTGGCGGAGAAAGTATTTTCCATTGTTGATCGGGATCCCCTTATTGACGAATTTATCAACTTCAAATTTTCTTTCCGACAAGAATGTATTTCCACTGCTGTCTGCTGCATGTCCATTCAAGATGATAGTTTCTGTTATCAGCTTTATGATGCTTACCATTAATGCATGAAATAGAAAGTTGAATTTAGCTTGAATCATGGTCATTGGCGACTGAAAAGTATAGACAATTCAAAATATTGTTTCAAAGCATTTTCCATGTTTTAAGGATAGGGAATATGTAAATGCATGATATATGGAGAAAAAAGTAATTAGGCAGAGTATTTCTCTTGCTCTTTCAAATTTAATAATGATGCTTTTCCTCCTTCCTTACGGTCTCTGTTTTTATGTATTTCTATGTGTAGAATTGTTTTTATTAGGATCAAACATGGTTATTTATATTTTGAGTTTTATGGAATTCCTGCATCTATATATGTTTTATTAGTTTATAACCAAGATAACAAAGAATAATGAAACTTGACCATAAGTAGAAAGGGGGAAAAAAAAAACATGACTAACCTCGTTAGGTTTTTGTTAATTGAATTCATTGAATTCTGTAATGATCTTTTCTTATTTTCGTTTTGTGATTTACAGGTTGCTGTTGCTTTGGAGAAGACTGCATTATCTGATGAGTACTTTATTAAGAGGAAGCTCTATCCAAATGTTGATTTCTATTCGGGATTAATGCATCGGTAATGATATCATTAACTTTCCAATGTTTATACTGTAAAGCTGGATGAATGCATACAATATTGTTAGTTTTTCTTAAAGCATAAAACTAATGACGAAATTCTAAATTCTCTCGTAGTGCAATGGGATGTCCGCCAGAGTACTTCACTGTTTTATTTGCACTTCCTCGAATGGCCGGTTACCTAGCACATTGGAGAGAGTCTCTAGATGATCCCGACACAAAGATAATGAGACCAAAACAGGTTAGTTTTTATAGATAGTGAAACAAACATGATTCAAAAATCTATTGGAAGTAAGTGATAAGCACCTTCGATGTCGTTCATTGGTGTAAAATAATCATTGTCCCCTTATCTTGATTGTCATAAAATGCTAACACACTAATCTAAAAAGGTGCCTGGGTAAGTTAAGTTGTCTAATCTGACCAATGATGTGTGGTTTCCATCTGATAGTATGGTTTACTTCTCATTCCCCTTTTTTTTTCCAGCAATGAAAAACTACCAAAGCTACTGTGATCAAAATGAATTTTAAAAAAATTTGAAGTGTGAATTCTATTTTATGGTTTTGAAATTGGGTCCCCGGAAAATCAGGACTTCCTGATTCTCCGTTTTGCCTTTGAAATTTCAGGTATATACTGGGGTATGGCTGAGGCACTATATGCCACTGAAAGAGGGGACGGTGTCACCCGATGCAGACAAGTTAGGTGAGGTGTCTATCTCAAATGCCTGTAGGCGGCAGCTTGCTAGATCAGGTGTTTAGGCTTTATTTTTATTTTGATGGGAAGGAAACGGCAGAGAAGAAATAAACTGACCTGAATGTCTGTCAGTGGGAAATAATTGTAGATGTGTTTGTGGCTCTCTATGTCAAAAAGTATATGTTAGCTCGACACTCAATCGTCATGACTGTTTCAGTATTGTTTGTTGTGAATAAGGCAATTCACTCTTTTTTTTTTTTTTTTTTGGGAGTTGATGTTTAGTTTGTTAACCCAATAAGACTAATAATTATATGCATTTTCCCTTCATACTCTATATAACGTAAGGCAAAACTCCAAACAGATTCTTTTTCCGTCGATATCGGTTCATTAATTTAATAACAAGCACAATTCATCTAATAGAAACAAATCTGACAAAATAAATGTATTATCAAATTATATTTTGATAAGTTCATATATCTAATTGGCTAGTGCATATATCAAGAATTGTAATAATTTTCATACGTTTAATATTTTATTTTACACATCCATAAAAAACATAAAAAAAAAAAAACAATGTAGACACCTTCAAATGAACTGAAGAAGTTATGAATAAAAATTGTAACATTTTCATAAAAGAGTTAGATATTGTAGTTTTCAATTAAGTCCATGAACTATTTAAATTTCGATAGGAATTAGTCCTAAACTTTACTAAAAATAAATGAAAACATTAGAGATTCAAGGTATTTTCCACTCTAACAGCCCTTGCATTTCAACCAGCCCAGTGGTTAACTCCAAATTTAAGTGCTTGGATTTCAAGAATTCTACCCCTACCAATAATCTGAAAAATCCCTGCATTCCCCCATTGCCCTCAATTTTCTTATGTTAAAAAAGAAGCATTTTTCTGTTGGAACTTATTGGTTATCACTGCAATCCAACAGGGTTGTAGATAGATTACACCCCCAACTAATAATTAAATTTTATCAAGAGTAAAATACTAATTTAAATTTTAACTTTTAACTTCTAATCATTACTTCTATCAAAATAAAAAAAAGAAACAGAAAAAAAAAACCCTTGCATTCCTTCTCCTGTGATACTAGTTAGAATTATATGACTCAAAAGTCAAAACGAGGCCACGTTTTAAATTCCATATTTCAAAAGAACAAACAAAAAAGGGGGTGGTGTTGCCACAGCAATTACTGTTAATACCACAACTTTTTTTAATTATTTGATTATTATACCCTTCATTTGAATCCAATTTGCAGCAGTCATCTTCTTCTTCGCGTGGATTAATGGTCAATTAATTAAAAAAATTATGGTGTTAACCTGTGAAGCTGTGGCAATAACACCACCCAAAAAAAGAGGTCACGTTTGTGGTCTAACCTAAAAAAGTCTTAAAGTTCTCCTTTTACTGAAGGTACTCACGGGGCTTATGAACTGTTATCCATACACTGGTCTTCTGTTTGAATGAACTTTTCCGACACAGATTTCTGCAGAGCATTATTTGGTTGATGAAGTGAAGAAACTCACTTTGTTTTTCTCTTCCTTCGTTACTGTTTGAATGAACCTCTGAACTGTCGTACGTACCAATAACTCACCTTTAAAGCTGGGTCCCACCTTGGGGACCACTCTTCTGTCATTTGTTTTGTCTTCTTCAGCTGACTTCGATTGAGTCTTCTTCTTCTTCTTCTTCTTTTTATTTTTTAATTTCATAAATAATTTATTAATAATGTAATTTATTTTAATTTACTTTAAAATTTTTTATAAATAATTTATAAATTATTAATTTTATTTTAAAATAATTTATTTAACAAATATTTCGTTAAA